TGTATCAGCACGCCGCCGCACGCGTCCACACTTGGAACGTGTCCACACTTTATTTATTTATACGGAAATTTGGTCAAAAATTAAGTACCTATTTTTTTTACATAATTCGAATGAGAATCATGTACCGAGTATTCTCCTTAAATATTGATAGTAATTCACCAGTCACCCTGTATAAATAGTTTAGATATACACATAAAATAATATTGTCTTGCACTATAATATTATACACAATGTATGTGTGTGTGTGGGTGTGTGTGTGTGTGTGTTGATCAAAATTTTTATAGTTATGTCATTCCAAACTACGGTTTACAAAAATAACATAAGCTGCAGTCACAGGTTACACTTTCTTTTCAGTTCATTGACCCCATGATTTTTGTAGGAAGCAGAAATCATTAACATTTTCCAATTCTTTGAATCTATATTTATATTATCATAACATCAATACGTCAAGCGAATTCTGCTCGATTTTAAGAGAAGGTGAACCTAATGAATTTAGTAATAAATAATAATACACAGTATAAATGTACAGCTGCGTGCAAAAGTATTAGGCACCCCTATTGTTAGTCACTATCTCATTATATTGCGGTCAAGTGTGTGTTTTATGGTTTAGCTATTGTATTAGCGGCAATTTTTAACCAAATTAAGATAAAAAAAAATATTTATGACATCCAGGTATGCTCCTAAGCGGTGTTTCTTCGAATTTGCTTTTTTTGCGTTTCGGGCTATAGTGTGTTATCAGTGCTTGCAGTGAACATACACGTCTTCTACGCAACTATTCCTATCATAATTCTAAAGACTAACATTTAACGTGTTAATCATACCGAAAAAATCTGAACTTAGTGCTGAACAGCGTCTAAGAATAAAGATTTTACATGAACAAGGCATGTCTCAGGTTAAAATAGCCCGAGAAGTGAAGTGCTCGCGATGTGCAGTTCAATATGCTATCAATCGCTTCAAAGAGACTGGCACCCATGAAAATAGACCAAGAACAGGCAGAAGAAAAGTTACTACTGAACGGGAAGATCGATTGTTGATTAGGCAGTCTCTACAAAACAGGAAAAAAACTGCTTTAGAGCTCGCTGCAGCATTATCTGAGGCAAAAGGCAGCTCAGTGAGTGTTTATACTGTGAGAAGAAGACTTCTTAAAGCTGGATTAAAAGGATGTAAAGCAAGGAAGAAGCCGTGGCTGTCAGAACACAATAAGAAAAATCGGTTGGAGTGGGCACTCAAACATAAAGATTGGTCAGTGGAAGATTGGTCCAACATACTGTGGTCAGACGAATCTAACTTTGAGGTATTGTTATTTATTTTATGTACAATATTAAAACACATAAATGTTTTTAAAATAACGTACTGCAAGAAAAATAATAACGTTGAAAATAAATGTGTTTTTTTCGTTTGGCATAGGTGTTTGGAACACCCGGTGTGACTTATGTTAGGCGAAGGGTTGGCGAAGAATACAACCCAGAATGTGTGGTTCCCACTGTTAAGCATGGTGGAGGCTCAATAATGATCTGGGGCTGCATGGCTGCCAACGGAGTGGGCGAAATGGTGTTGTGTGAGGGACGAATGAATAGTGTTAAATACACTGAAGTTCTGGAAACAGCACTAGCAACGTCGATAACGCAAATTTTCGGTGATACAAACACCGGTGGCCTGAAATTTCAGCAAGACAACGCCACTTGCCACAAGTCCGCGCATACCATGAAGTGGTTTGCTGAAAATCATATTGATCTTTTGGACTGGCCACCACAATCACCAGACCTCAACCCGATCGAGCATATTTGGTCCATTTTAAAGAAAAATATCCGCAGGTACTCGATTAGCAATAAACAAGCTCTATTGGCCGCGTTACAGCAGGAATGGAAAAATATATCAAGAGAAGAATGTTTCAGGCTGGTAGAGTCAATGTCAAAAAGAGTGGCTGCGGTTATTAAGTCAAAAGGTGGACCTACAAAATATTAATTACTTTCTTAAAATAAACCATTGTAATCATAAATGCAGTTTTATTTACACTCGCTATGCTAAAACACCCTAAAACTTGTCTTACTGTAGGGTGCCTAATACTTTTGCCCGTGGCTGTATATAGTTATATTGATACACACACACACACATTAATTTATTTATAATAAATATGACACACTACCATGACTGTAACACATATAAATACATATCAAATAATACATTAATCTTTTTTGTCACTGAATGACAAATATCAAATGAATAATTTCTCTATATACATTTTGTAAAATTTCGCATCATCATCAGCCTATCAGAGCTCACTGCTGAGCTGACTCTTCTCACATGGAGAAGATTAGAACATTAATCACCACGCTTGCTCAAGACGGGTTGGTGAAATTTCGCAAAATCAAATAACATTTTCATTGTAGAATATTAGTGTTGTATTTGATGTAAATTTTTTCTAAGTACTTAATGTCATTCCCAAATAAGGTAAAGTTAAGTTTACGTATCCATATAAGTTTTTTATGAATAAAGCAACATTTTTATTTATTTTTTTCTTTTACAAAGTTTATAAGACTTTTCAAGTATTTTATTCTGATCACTGTATATTTCGTCTCCTAATTTAATATAACAAAATGACGAAAACTTCTTGAGAAGTGAAAAATTTTTTACTAAGTGATATTTTTAAAGAATTTTATATAAAAGCTATATGTAATATACGTATATAGGGGAGAGTTGGTTATATCGTACTAGCATTTAAATCGTACCACCTCTTAATTTCCCATTTAATGAATTTTTTTTTTTACATTGACAACGCCAAATCGTGGCCCTGTACCACCCCTCTTCACCCACTAGTTTACATCGACGTGAGTTAACAACTGTGCACGTAATAAAAAAAAACATTTTTTGTAGGAATTAATATAAATATTGTCGTACATTCGTAAGGAGATAACTCGTAATCAAGGTTAGCTATAGTTATTCATATTTTTTTTATTATTCCACAATTGTATACTAGATTATTGGGGGTTTTTGTTGCATGTCTAAGTTTTGAGTTTATGCCGGATATTTGCTTTTGTTTTAGAAATGCCTTAGTTGGTTTAATCGTACCACTTGCAGTTGGTTAAATTGTACTGGTACGATTTACCCGACTACCAACCGCAAGTACCTATAGTACTACCGCAAGTACGTATAGTAAGTACTACCCAAGGCCAAAAACAAAAGTTATAAGAGGAAACGATCTCATTCCATCACCAGTAGCGATGATTCAGGAGAGACACTTGTTGTAGAACTAGATGATGATGATGACAGCGATGATTATCTTGAAAATATATGTCGAAAGTGCAATTGTTCTTACTACGATAAGAAGGGTCCAAAAGTTGATTCGATTCAATGCGTTCGCTGTAAACGGTGGCTACATGAGACGTGTACTTCGAATTTTTGAAAACATTTGTCATGATTGTTTCCATTAAGAAATATGCACAATAATTATATTACAAATAACATTCTTGTTAACTGTTACTTTATTAATATAGTTTACTCTTTTTTTTTTGTCTCATTTTTATTAGTTATGTTGATTGACCTCATTATCCCTACTAATATTATAAATGCGAAAGTAACTCTGTCTGTCTGTCTGTCTGTCTGTCTGTCTGTCTGTCTGTTACTCTTTCACGCCTAAACCACTGAACTGATTTTAATGAAATTTGGTACTGAGATAGAGTTGACCTTGAGAAAGAACATAGGATAGTTTTTATCCCAGACTTTTGAAACGTTCTCTTGGAAACGCGATATAACCGAACTCCACGCGGGCGAAGCTGCGGGCGGAAAGCTAGTGTAATATAATGAATTTATTTAAACATCATCTCTAATAATAAACGTTGGCTTTTTAATTTCATTCTCATAATCTTATTATATTTATTTTTGACTAACTTTCCGCCCGCAGCTACGCCCGCGTGGAGTTCGGTTATATCTCGTTTCCAAGAGAACCTTTTTAAAGTCTGGTATAAAAACTATTCTATGTCCTTTCTCAAGGTCAATTCTATCTCTGTACTAAATTTCATCAAAATCATTAAAAGAGTTACTTTCGCGTTTATAATATTAGTAAGGATTCTCGCTTGTTCTTTGTGAAGCTAGTCATAGTATAATCATGTTATTTTACTGAGAAAGCTTATAGAAGAGAGAATTTTAATGTCTTTCATTCAGTGGTACGACTTACACGCCCATGGTACGATTTAAAGACTTAGTGGTACGATTAAAACGACTAGTCGGCTAAATCGTACCGATGGCAAGCCTCTATAAAAAAGCATTTTTAACAATGTTAGAATAATCGCAAGGATCTGTTCTCTTCTTCTTAGGAAGCTAAAATATGAAACTTTATTTTACATATGTATTAATTATTATAAGACGTGTTATAGTCGAAATATTTGAGTTAAAGTGAAAAGTGGTACGATATATCCGACTCTCCCCTATATTGACTAGCTTCCCGTCCCGTCTTCACATGGGTGTACACAAAATTTTTCTTATATACACTTACCTTTTATTTTTATAAATTTTTTTTAGAAAAAAACTGCCTATGTTACTCAGTTTGTTCTAATGGTAAAGCTATTTTTCAAATTGGTTCAGTAGTTTTTGAGTTTATTCATTACAAACATACACACAAAAATATACACCATTTTCCTACATATAATATTATTGTATATGTATTCTTCTTCTACTACCTGGCAATTTCCCAGCCTTAGCCAGGGTCTACCTTACATGTTGTAAATAGTTTTTTGGCTAATTGCTTTTACGACCGGCCGCCTGCCTGACATCAACCCTCTTTGGGAATGCATTAATCTGTGATGTCTAAATAGTAAATACTCTAAGAAAGTACATATGATTCCGAAAAATCACATTGGTACATGCCCGGGCCAGGATCGAACCCGCGCCCTCATGCATGAGAGGCGGGCATTTTAACCACTAGGCCACCACTGACTAATATTGTGTATGTATTATGTATGTCTAAATGCATTTTCTGTTGTTCCAGGCTTATTCCAGTCACCATGGTTATGGAAGCGAATCCCATTACTGAAAAACGAGCAGACGGTAAGAATCAATCTTTTATTACATAATTAGCTTTCCGTCCGCAGCTTCGCCCGCGTGGAGTTCGGTTATATCGCGTTTTCAAGAGAACCTTTCAAAAGTCTGTGATAAAAACTATCCTATGTTCTTTCTCAAGGTCAACTGTATCTCTGTACCAAATTTCATTAAAATCAGTTCAGTAGTTTAGGCGTAAAAGCGTAACAGACAGACAGACAGAGTTACTTTCGATTAATAATGTTAGTAGGGATATACACATATCTATTAGCTGACTCAGCAAACGTTTTTTTGCCATATCAAAAACAGGGTTGGTCATAAAAAAAGTAACAAAATTTTATTGTACGTATGTTTTAATGCTACATAATAAACAAATAAAAACAAAAAATTTCGTTCGAAAATGAAAAAAAATTAAGGGTGAACAACCCTTATGATTTAGGTGTATGAAAAATAGATGTTGGCCGATTCTCAGAGCTACTCAATATGCTCACAAAATTTAATTTAAATCGGTCCTGCCGTTTCGGAGGAGTTCTATGTCTAAAGAATTATATATATAAGGTATATATAAGTGTATTTTCATGGTAATTTTTGTGTATGCAGCAGATTACGGGCCCTTTCACGTGCAAATGAACAAAAATCCGAAAATATTAATTCTATTTTAATAAATACTCGCGATAGTCTTAGATCTCATTATTAAAACATCTGAATTATTTGGTTTATAACACAAAAAATCTTATACATTTAAAAATATTAAATGAGATAAGTCATTTGGAGGTTGTAATACATGTGTGTAACCTTGGATTTGCTTCCTAATGCTGTTCATTTAATTGGCTTAGACACTTGTAAACCTCTTGTTAGTCGAAGACAGTTGATTTGAAACATTTAATACAACTGACGTATGACGATAAATTTATAATTTTTTATACGAAAATTAATAGTTAAATATTTACTAATTTATTATATGTATTTAATTAAGATTATTTTTAGTATTTGTAATTATATTGATAAAAATTAAAGAAATAAGTGTCTTGAACTTAAAATTATGTGAGGTAACTAGTGGTATGTACGTACTCATATATATACAATAACATTTGAAAACATATACAAGGTGGCTGGTGAATTACTATCGATACTTGAGGACGTGATATTTGACGATCATATATGACAAAATAAAAATTAATATAACATAAATATTAATAAACTTCTAAGTAAAGATAACCAAAAGTTATGTTATTAATTACGCATCGCGTGAACACCCTACAGATTAGGTATACACTCACACACACATACGCGTGCGGCGGCGTAGTGTTGTATCAGCACGCCGCCGCACGAGTCTACACTTGGAACACTTGGAACGTGTCAACACTTTATTTATTTATACGGAAATTTTGTCAAAAATTAAGTGCCTATTTTTTTTACATAATTCGAATGAGAATCATGTACCGAGTATTCTCCTTAAATATTGATAGTAATTCACCAGTCACCCTGTATAATATTTAAAGAAGATAATGTATTCTTGGAAAAAGTAATTATTCCTATATAATAATTCTATTTGGCAGAACCAAACAAGCAATAAAGTAGATTACGAGATCATAAAATCTCAACGTCTTAAAATAGTGATATTTTACTCTCAATTTAAGGACTACATTAAAATATAATTAGACTTATAATTTGACACAGTTAAAAAATAATCGTATGACAATAGCCAACTGAATGTTTAATTTATAAACTGTGTCAAGTTACTTATACGAAATACGTAACTTTCCTGTTTCTGTTATAAATCTCATATATGAAGGAAAAAGTAGGAAAGAAAATGGTATTTTCTTTTCACTGAGTACTGTTACGACTTACGAGATTTTCCCTTGGGAATTGCATCAAGTTGCAAAGAATCACCATATAATACGGGTATATTTATGTTTTTCACTAATATATATTCAGTAGTTTTTACGTACGGGAACAAGTAACAAACATACACACATATAATATCCTACATCACCGGCAAACATAGATACGACCGGCCCTGTACCATTCACATTAGGTAACTAAGTAATTATATATTAAATAATATACTATCTTCTTCTTCTACCTGGCAATTTCCCAGCTATACCCAGGGTCTGCCTTACATGTTGTGAATAGTTTTGGCTAATTGTTTTTTACGACCGGCCGCCTGCCTGACATCAACCCTTTTTTGGGAATGCATTAATCAGAGATGTTTAGATACTCTTAGAAAGTACATATGACTCCGTAAAATCACATTGGTACTCGCCCGGGCCAGGATCGAACCCGCGCCCTCTCGCATGAAAGTCGGGCCTTTTAACCACTAGGCCACCACTGACTATATATAATATACTATATCTGTGTGTAATACATTAATTTACTACACTTTAACTACAATGAAATGATACTTTTCTGCATTGTGATCGACAAAAGGCAGCATATGTTTAAATCAAGTTAAATTTTTCAATACTTGTGGGTGTACGATATTTTTTGTTTTCCCATTGTTTGGGTAGATATAGAGACTATCTGTTTTTCCAATACAGGATCACGCAACATACTATTGTCCATGTGAAAGCAATCCACATTAAAATCTAGACCACACGTTTGTAAAGACTGACCTTGTACTTTTTTAATAGTGACTGAAAGCCAATCGAATTGGGAATTGCGATCTTTTAAATTGAAGTGATGTATCGGTCAGGATCATGGGAATTCGAGGAATGACATCTTCATCTTTAAGAGGACCTAAAATATGTCTGCTTCCACAATGTTGTTAATTATTTTTTAACTGCGAGTCGTATACCGTTGCAGGGTTTTGGCTGGTTCATAGCGCACTTAGGGTTATGTTAGGATCGTGAAAAATAAATAAAAACAATCCTTATAGCGTGTATATTGATTTAAAATTTGAGTTGAATTTTTTTCAGAACATTTTAGTTCTTGAAGCACAGAAACAAACACACAGACACACATATATGTATATACTAGCTTTCGACCCGCAGCTACGCCCGCGTGGAGTTCGGTTATATCGCGTTTCCAAGAGAACCTTTCAAAAGTCTGGGATAAAAACTATCCTATGTTCTTTCTGAAGGTCAACTCTATGTCTGTATCAAATTTCATTAAACTCAGTTCAGTGATTTAAGCGTGAAAGCGTAACAGACAGACAGACAGAGTTACTTTCGCATTTATAATATTAGTAGGGATTACCGATTAGTAAGGATGTGTGTTTGTGTATGTTCCAGATCTGTCCTTCAGCCTAACCACGTGTTTGATAAGACATAAATGACTAATAGTTTTTTTTAACCAGCGTCGAATTTATTTTCTTTGTTCTATTTAAAGTTCAGTGACTCTTCATTTGTCGTCCGTGTTATATGAACGCATTCAAATATATATCAAAAGATACGACGAGTAATGATAAATATATTACTAGTATATTTTTAATCACTTAAATTTTGTTGAACAAATATTTAAGATTTTCCCGAATTTTCATCTCGTCTGCCCGTGATCACGGTTGCTTCATAGAAACCGAAACGTCGGGAGTTTCTGGTTAAAATAATAAAATACGCGTAGTAATGCAAAATTATTAGTTTTATTTCAAATTTTTAATATTTTTAACAATCATTCAAGTTGTATTTTGTTGTTTTTTATTTGAACTGGCATCGTTTTGAGATGATGGTCAAATATTTCTAAACAACATTTTTAATTGATGTATCTGGTAATAAAAATATGAGTTATCCAGAACAATCTAAAATATTAATTGATTGTACTATAAATACTATTTCATCAATCTTTTCCTAACATAAAATTGAGAAATATTTCATATCTTTGACAATATTATGTGAGATTTAACTACATACAAGTCAATTGAAAGAATTACTATGAAATATATTTATTTTAAAATGAATTAAGATTCTAGCTTGTAAAACCTTAATTAGATCTAATACTCGCGAGTATCCATTTTAATGAAACTAATCTTTTCAAATTACATGGCGTTATTTTATTATTTTAAAACTACATTCTAAATAAGTACGTTTCGTTTACTTTCAACTACTACTGAGTACTAAGAAAATATTAGTTTTATTTTTCTTATTTATTTCATCAATAGAAATACTCATTACTATGTACTGAGCCATTCTGAAATCATATAAGGAATTCTGTCTCATACAAACTAAATCTTGGCACTACCACCAGGAGAGACGTGGCGGGTATAAAAATATCTTAATACCAAAATTACTTATGACTCATGTGTTTTATACCGTTCTAAAGTGGTTGCACTGTGGGTGGGAGTTCATAATAAACGATTATGTTTAGTTACGTTACTGGATTTCAAGACTTCATTATGATATTATTACGAGAATATAAATAAAAATAATCAAAAATATATTCAGCAAAAAGTATTTAATATTTCTCTTTCTATTCTATTGTTTTGAGATTTTATTTCGTATCAAATTTGGTTAGGTAGAGAGAGGAGTTTGGACAGTGGAGGTAAGCGTTAAATTCGCGTTAAATAGGGGCTCTTTAAACCTACACCTGGGTCGCAAGTCACTGTTGAAGCTCCTCTCCCTGCAACGATGGACCTGACACTCGTACTGTAAATCCATCGAATGCTAAGAACTTTCGTCTCTTATTTGTAGGTTAATATGAGATCCTAAATATTTTTTTCCAGATCGCGTCCACGCTATACGTACGCGAGGTGGTGGCGATGTGATTCCAGAACGTTCCGTGGGAACCTTGGACCTAAATATGTCATTCACACCATCGAATCTCGTCTTGACCCCGGCACCTGAATGTAAGTATAAACCTCGCTATATACTCTTGCTGATGTTTAGGAATCATATATTAATATATATCTATAGATATACTAGTTTATGCCCGCGACTTCGTCTGCGGTAATTTCAGAATTGTTAATATATGTATAACTGACTGGACGAACTTTATTCTGCCCTAGATTCAGTAAATAACCAAATATTTGATATTATTATATATATTTTTTTGGTCGAACAAAATTTACTATCCCATGTCCGTCTCCCTGCTAATCAAATAACACAACCTCATATATATATAATCTAAATTTAGAGTACAATTTTAATATGGAACATGAAATTCCCTTGTGTCTTTTTCGTTCCATCAATCCAGCCATTGAAATGGGAACACGTATACATTTGCCCAACCTAGAAATAATCCTACGTGATTATATTTATAGAACGAGTGAATCGAACATTATATGTTTACTGTTTGATTTAGTTTGTATTGAATTAAATATAACAATAATATCCGTTGAACAAAATGTATCATAGTTCATTTACAATAGTAATTCCAAATTAGATATATCTGAGCTTTGAAATTAATAAATTAAAAAAACTAAGAAAACTATATAACTAACATTAAAACTAAAATAACTCGTACATTTTTAATACTGTATTAGATTTAAATCCTGCCAAAAAAATATCCCATACAATTAGCTATACAAATACGAGATTCTGTTAATAATATTTGAGCAGTGTCAACTCTAGGTCGGAAGCTATCTCGTGGTATATCTCGAGCCACTGACAACGAGGGTCTCGTGTGGGCATTAAGAAGCAACACAGAACCTCAACCAAACACCTTATCTTCAGACCATATTTTATTATTGCCAGATATATCCGTCTACCCCCCAGATTTTAGGTAAGTTAATATAATCAATATTATTCTGGCAACACATTAACGAAGATCATGACTAATTTTAGTAAACATAAAAAACGTCTTGTAGGACGAAAACGCCAGCCAAATTATAATCTTGTCACCTTTCCAGAAACGTGAAGTGTATTTTGGTATATTTTGTACAGATTCATCTGGAAAATGATCTCATGATGAATTACACCCAAATAAGTAATTTCATAGTTATATGATAAACTAGAAGTAAATATATGTACTTCAGTATTAAACCACAATAGGCCATTGAAGTAAATTTTCAGTCTATATACTTAAGTTACACGAGTCATGACATTGATTTGTATCGTTCAACGCCGCGCCTACAAGGTCAACGACCTCCGCACAAAACCCTTTGATATTCGGACAATTTATGGCATTGTGGTGTTACACGATTTCATTATATTTAACCTTGAGCATAATAAATAATGCGTAGTATATAAAATAATTTTGTTTTAGAGCTTTACAATATTTTGTTCAGTAACACCAAATAAATATAATAGACTAGCTGCGCCCAGCGGATTTCCGGGATGTAAAGTAGCCTATATGTTATTCCTGGACGTAAGCTTCCTGTATACAAAATTTCATCAAAATCGGTTCAGCCGTTTGAGCGGGAAGAAGTAAAACATACACACACACTCACAAACTTTCGCAATTATAATATTTTCAATTCTGTTTAGAATATTCATCGAAAAGGATCTCCTAGAGACAGCTACTCTAGTTACGTTAGAGTCTGCTAATATACTCAATTGGTGGCGCCACGGTCGAGTCCCGGGCGCCCCACGGTTGCTACCCCTGGCCACGTCAGGTGACGGAAACTGTCTCCCGCACGCGGCTTCGCTCGCAGCGTACGGCTTCCATGACAGATTACTGGCTTTAAGGACCAAAGTCCAGGCTCTGTTGTCTGGGGAATGCGGCGATGTACTTACTAGTGAGTTTTTGTTAGGATAATAACGCCTATATACGTATTTATGTCCAAAATACTTTGCTGATACTAGAAAAATATTATACAAGTCATATTAGCCCATAGGTTCTAGTACTTTGTCAGTATTTTCACACCAGTGTATCAATAACAGAGGCTATAAAACGTCGTTGGCGCTGGTCGGAGAGCATCTGTCTACGGACAGCAGGGTTGACACCTTCGGAGGCGGAGTGGGAGCGAGAGTGGCAGGATTCTATAGTGGCAGCGTCCGCTGAACCAAGGCCGCACCAACCCTCGGCTGCTCCACACTACGCTGGCTTGGAACAGCTCCACGTGTTCGCGCTGGCTCATGTCATGAAACGACCGGTTATCGTGTTCGCGGACGTCGCGTTGAGAGTAAGTGATAAAATATACGAGATGGAATATAGACAAAAAAAGATGATAGTGGTAGAGCCTAGTATGTGAAATTACTGTTGATCGAATATAGACTGGTTCGGGAAGTACCACCGTCTTACAGAAGATCGGCGTGAATTGCCTTAAATGGCTGCGTATCGTCCGATGAGTGAGAGAGACGGTTGTCCTTTCTCTTTTCCCACCCTTTCTTTTCTAATTCAAGTTCAAAACTAGGTTGCAGATGTCCATTTGCGACGGTAAATACCTCCATCATTAGACCGTCTGCTCGTTTGCCCACTTAGTTATAAAAAAATTGTTGAAAGTCCTAGTTCCACTACACATAAGTTTCCCAGTAGATGTTTGAAAAATACCTATCTTATAATCGTCAAAAAATCTTCCATTAAGATTTTATATATTAGAATGATTATTAAATATCATCATTTTAAACATTCCAGGATTTCAGAGGCGACCCAATAGCACCTATTCCATTCGGTGGTATCTATCTACCTTTGGAACTTCAACCCGAAGTATGCAGTAAAGCGCCGATACTCCTGGCTTATGACGCCGGTCACTTCTCAGCGCTCGTACCATGCGAGCCTCTCCCCACAGATGGCGCTAGAGTACCCTTGGAGGATCGCATCGGAAACCCAATGCCTATACGGTATTTATAAATCATATCACATCTCATAAAGTATGAAAAACCAGTAAATAAATGACGATTAAATGAATCATCTGGAAAAAAATATGGTATTAATGAATAGTAAAAAAAATATCGTGGTCTGGAGGTTAAAGTTCGCTCATTCATGAGAACGCGGGTTCGAAACCCGGCAAGTACCAATATGATTTTTCGGAGTCATATGTACTTTTTAATAGTATTTAGACACCACTGACAGATGAAGGAAAATATCGTAAGGAAACCTGGACTTATAATTTCTAATTATAAGTTTGAAATCGCCAACCCGTCTTGAGCGAGCGTGGTGATTAATGCTCAAACCTTGTCCATGTGGGAAGAAGCCTTTGCTCACCAATATAGTCCGATGGGCTGATGATAATGAATATTACTTTTTTTACAGGTTTAATGTAGACCCGGGCGAGGATTTCCGGTGGGATATTGAACCGGAACAAAAGACTATCAATAACTTGCTCCCAGACGAATACCAACGATCAGCCATGTTGTCTGCTTATTTGGACTTGGAGAGAGTTGAATGTCTATCTCAGGGTCAACCTTCAGAGGAGTTGAGAAGATCCCTTGACGCGTTGTCGACTAAGAGCTCCAAGCAGTTGAACTCCGTCGCCAAACAATTTGGCAGCATTGGAAGATCAATGAGCAGCAAGTTGAAGAGCTTCGGATCTATGGCCAAGTTGACGAAGACCGGAAGCCAGTCGAACCCAGAAGACGGTCTCATGAGACGGCAGTCTACTTGTGAGGTCTTGTGTTGTAGAGTACTAGCGGCTAGAGCGCCCGTACAGGAAGAAATGGTTAAGAATTATCTGAATGAAGCTTGGATTGGGTATGTGGATATGTATATAAAATTGTAAGAAAAGAATAATTTATAGTAACGTATAAAAAAAGATATTTCTGTTTTATATCATTTATGTACATAATGTTAGCTTAAAGTTGAAATAGGTAACGTAGTTATCATGTATATAAAATTGTTAGAACGCAATAATTTATAGTAATTTATAAAAAAAGATATTTTTGTTTTATATCATGTATATCATTTAAGTACATAATGTTAGCTTAAAGTTGAATACAACGCTAGTTATCTTCCTACCCTCATATATATCATACATGGCATTATTAATTTCAGATATACAGCAGAGAAAAATAGGAAAGAAGATTCCCAAGCTCCAGCGAAACCTCGTTACGGTACAGGCCGGTCGCAGTTCTACGCGGAGGCTGATAGGAACGCTCACGAAAACGCAAGGACATTGACCTCTAAATCAGCAAAACCCGCCCAAGATCGAACCTTGTACCTCTCAAAATCAACTTTCTATGACGACCGCCCTCCCTCACCCAAACCTTGCAAGGCTCCTCTCTGTATGTACTACGGGAGCCCCGAAAATAATGACTACTGTTCTCGCTGCAGTAAACTACAATGAGCAAGAGTTTCATCAGTTTCGATACAGTCCAAAGGCGATTTCACCGGTTAGAAATATTTCTGGTATCATCCTACCTTCAATACCGCTTATATGGTTTTAATTTATTATTAAAAATCAAATACATATGTTTCTCTTACATAATCCTTGGAGTAAGTAATCGGTGAAATGAACCTTGAGATTTAATTGATATTTTATTTTATTTCAGCACTACACAAGTTTAACAACTCACAATTTTATACATAGATTTTATTTTAAATCGACTGTATCGAAACCTAACTTCTAATCTCCTACTATTTCTAATACATAACTATTTTTTATAACAGAATAATAATTCGTTTAAGTTATATTTTTCTATAAAATAGATAAACATTTGTAATGTTCAAATTCAGGACTATTTTATGAAATGTTTATAAAATAAGAGTTACCGCAGTACAAGCGTATTGAAATAGAAAAACTATTTTTTAATGATCTTCCAATTTAAAAATGATATTATGAAACAGGTTGATATAGTTCTTAAACTATTATAATATACTTCGGTATATTTTTTTATTTGAAATAAATATTTTTGTCAAAGCTTTATCAATGTGAGCCAAATGCACTTTCTTAGTGCCAATATTTGGAACGTGCGAAAGTATTAAAAGGCCTTTACTTAAATTGTTACTGTTATATGTAAGTGTTTATGTAGATCTATATATATTTACATAGTGTATAGTTGTTTGATATTGACGTTCAATTGTTTTGTTTTTGGACTCAGGGTAACGCTTCGTTATATATTTTTATATCAAAGAGCTTGGAGTCAAACCTCCGTCCTAACTTCAAAAACAATTAGATCTTCTAGTCTCGTTAATACTTAGGTTATTTGTTAACATTAAGGTTTTATTTTGTTAATTGCATGAACCTAACTCCCACCATTGTTTTTTTATTCCGTAAAAATGTTTCAATGATCTGTAAAGTGAGATTACATGACAAATGTATTTGTTGGACATTTATAATAAAACATGTTGGAACTAAATGTTTTGTCATATCATGTTTTGTAGAACTATAAACGGTTACACAATTTAAGTCTTTTATTTACACAGACTATATTAACATATTTATATTTAGATACATCGATAGTTATACATTTCATAAATGTAATAAAATATTAAAGCAGTCTTAATATACATTATCCTGGCGCGATCCTAGCTGCTATAATTGCGGGTAGATATAAATTTACACTTACACTATACTGTAAAGTTCATTTCACGGGTGCACTTTTCGGTGTTTAACCGAGGAAAATGTCAAATTCTAACTGTCAGGATTCAGGTAGATCCGTATCTATGATCTCCAAATCTCAACTGTCCTGCCAATAATTATAATTGGCGGGCGGAGGGACTGGCATTGGCGGAACGTTGTTGGAATTGTATGGAGAGCCTTGGGGTGATCCATACCTCGCTCTGAACCACGGTCTGCTTGTATACTGGTATTGGTTACTGGCATATGCTGCCAGATTCTGCCCTGTGGCATTCGGGTAGGGATTCTGTCCATTCTGAGCCGGATATCCCAGGTTTGGCATATTGGGATACGTCTGGTTTGGCGCTGGTGTTGATGAGGGCGAGAAGTTTGCTTGTGAGGTGTTTGTTATCGTGGTGTATTGGCTGGTTTGATTTGAACCGTTAGTGGGATAACTTGGTGGCGCTGTAGCTTGGTTGCTGTAGGTTGTGTTGCTTCCGTTTTGTGTGTAATTTTGCTGATTAACGGTTTGGTTGCTGGCTGTATAAGTTCCCGATTGCGTCGTACTTCCGTCTGTTGAGAAATTCTGTTGTCCATTATTCTGTACAGGAGTAGTACCGGATATGGCGTAATTGTTTTCTTGGGAGGATGACGAAATGTAATTAGTCTGGTTGCTGCTTCCGTTTGTTGAATCCGATTCCGCGGCTGTTGTTTGACCGTTGCCGTTTGTGGGTGCTGGGTTCGTAGCTTGGTTTGTTGGCATCGTGTATTGGACGTTCTGATTTGAAGCTGGCATTGTGATCGTTCCGGAGTTAGCTTGCATGACGTATTGAGGCGGCATCCCCGCGTATTGAGAGGTCGGTGTGATGAAACTTGATTGTTGCGGCACGGCACTATTGATGTACCGGTGGAGGTTGAGATACTGGTATGGTTTGAGTGTTCGTCATAGGTGACGCAGTTGGTGCTTGTACTATAGGTATGGTCCCGGAAACGGCTAAATTAGAGTTAGCCAACTGCTGCCCGGCTAAAGCTGCATTCAATTGCTGGGCTGAGAGTTGCGCGTTCAGGTTTATGCCTTGCATGTATTGCGAATTGGCTTGCATGTTCATAGGCATTAATGGCATGTTGTATTGCACTCCACCCGGCATGCCGAGTTGATTTGGTTGCATAACCGTTACGTTTTGTCCCGGTTGTAGAACCTGTTGGCTGATCAAACCAGGCGGTAGTCCTGATTGGACGAGACTTGGATGGTTCGTTGGTATCATGTACACTTGGCTATTTGGCTGACCAATCACGGTCGGCATTTGGCTTATGTTCAACGGATTTTGCAATACCGTCATACCCTGTGGTACGGTTATCATTTGCAAGTTCTGTGCTGTATTCTGTATTTTATTGGTGGTTAGATCCTGTTTCTGTCCGTCTTTACTCGTTTGTATCTGTATAGCGTTCCTGTCGATTTGTTTAATGTACATTCCGGTGCCGTCTTGAGCTACAGATGATGCTGATACACTGTGAAACAAAGTAATAGTAGGTTTAACATTTTAATATGAAAAGATGGTATAAAGTGTAGCCTCGTGTAACAAGTGATATGGGGCTCAATAGTTTTATGACATCACATTATAAAACAAAGTCTGGATGAGAAGACAATTTTTATTTTGGGTTTTATGAAATTCTGGACTTTACGTTACTTTAGATTATTATTCAATAAAAATGAGTAAAAATGTAACATAGCTTTTTTCTGACAATTATTAAGACCTATATAAATTTAAATAACGTGTGGCGTAACATTATTACGGGGGAAGGGGTTCAAAAGACCTAAAATTCGTGTGAAATACTTTTTGGATGGCCAAATAAGAAATTGTTGATGAAACTCACTTCGTCTGCTGGCCTGAAGAAACGTGGATAATGGTGCCGTGAGCCGGATTTATTTTCATTCCCATACTGACAATAGTGTTGTCTCTAGCTACGGAAACAATAAAAGTTTTCAATTCAAATTAAAATTGTACGCTCTGCATGATATTTACGCTTCGCTTCGCTATACGCATGTTAATTTGGACAGGGTTTGTATGCGGGAAAAAATAAGGCATCTGCTTAATATTTTCACTGGGAGTCCTTGGATCGTCGTAATCTGAAAGGGTAGCATGCATCTACTCGAAAACTATTTAGCAATCGATTATTTCAGCATTACTTATTGCTTATCGCCAATACTTTGTACTTAACGCTACCAAATACTGATGAAAATTACGCTTATATGACGCTTGGAACATTACTTTCCCAAGTCGATGCTAAAATGTTTCTGTGCTAGCAGAACAAAAGCCAGTACGCTACGCCATAAACTATCAGTTACAATACTTCATAATCCTGAAACTGCTAAAATAGTTTTTAATTTATCTATAACTTCTCAAACATGCAAGGAAGGTCAATAAATTCGTCGATCAGATTTTTCGATGCCAAAGTCTAAGACCTGAACTTTGTAAGGCCTAAAAACTGTCCTACAAAAGAAAAAAAATCGTATTTTCTAGATAGGTATAGCTGCATTCAAGGACTGCATTCCCGAAGTGTATGGTAGTATTTCTGTAATTATGGTATTATTGACGCAAATTAAAATTATGGAGCTTTTTGATTTCACCCGACTTTTGAACCTACTTGAAGGAAAAAAACATAAAACAGTGTAGATACATAGAAATATTTTCAAAAGTAAGAAAACAGCTAACGAAAATTGCTCTTCCAAAGACTGCCGTCTCCTTTGCTATGAGAATATCTGGAAATATATAAGGCATGAATAATTTTTGTTTGTAAAAGCTAGTATAAAATTACGCCAAACTTTACGCCTTAGTAAATAACAATTTAGTTTCTACGCAAGCGCCAGAAAAAGCCTTGTTATTCATGTAATTTTACGCTCCTGAGTAATAAAAATTATACCCCATATACCAAACACGAAAATGAGATAAATCTAATATAAATATTATCAGCGCAGAAACAGCATCTGGAGATCACGAACAAAATTCTGTAATGGAAGAATTAAACTTTGAAAATACAAATGCACTACGCGATTCGCTTTAAAACTTAAAGTTATGGCTGTTTTGAAGTTATATCCGCAATCACTTCAAATTCGTTAGACGTAAAAATCTTTGAGATATCTTTTAATATAAATGTTAGGATTTTTTTGGACGTAATTAAAGTGATTTCGAATACAATTCAGTTATTCATTCTTATATACCTGTAGTCCACGTGCGGGAATCTCTCGACGATGTCTTGTCTTGGCTTACATGCGACCTGCGGTTTTATTCGTTTCATTAAAACATCCAATCAAATACATCAATTTCGTTATAAACGAACTTAATTTCAATGCTAAAAGACCAATTAATAATATGAGACGAAAAACTGCGAACTTGGCACTGGATTTTACGATGAGCTTCATTAAATGCGCCCGCTACACGCTAAGAGCTATAATTTGATCACCCAATGGGCTAAAAAGTGTAAAATTTTGAAAATTTGCATTTTTTGTATGGAAAACGAATGAAGATTAGGATTATATCGATGGAAAGACAGAAAGAGAAAAGAGAAATAAAGTGAAGTCACCTTGACCAAACATCGTACTACACTCTACCAAAAAAATAGTGTAGTGGGCGCCTAAAATGAAATGATACTTCGAAGACACGTTGGTAGAATCCTGAAGATCTTTATATTTTTGGGTAATAATGTTGAATAACCCTAATTTTGTTTCTGATATTAATCTGAAATGATAAGCGATTATTTTAATTAGTTTTCACTTACCCGGCCGGTGCTATGGGACGTAATTGTAATTGACTTGGAGTTCCATCTGATAATCTTTTCTGACCTCTTGATTCTTGACCAGAATTTTTAGTCGGCGTTGAACTCTGGAATATTAAAGGAAAATTTCAAACATAGCCAAAAAAATTGTATTAACACCGACTACCAAATTAGAATGTACAAAAAAATGATGGGTTAGGGCAAATTATCAGAAAAACAGCTTGAAATGAAGCGTTTGAAAAGAAATATATCTAATTAGAGTAAATTGTAGGTGTAGGAGGAAATAAATCATGCTTTTTAAAGCTTTTTTGGGATTTTCTTCTAAAAAAAAGAAAGAAAAGGCGATATATTAAAAACTTCATTAAAGTCAACTCGCGTAAGAAAACATTTTACGCGAATCATCTTTAAATAGTTCCATTTAAGTGTGATTAACTGAAAAACTATAAGAAAAGCAAATAATACGATGGGATGAAAGTAATTATTAGTATAAATGAAATGATAATATATTTCATTTGCTCACAGATATGATTTGTGGCGAGGACGCTTGGCCAGTTGATATAATATTTATTAATGAGGCACTGCTCACTATTGGCTGTTAAAAAATATAAAATATTATTTCTTTGAAACCGTCAAACACTTCCATTTATAAGAAATATTCAAAATTAATAAACTCCTGTAAGAATACTACTGTTGATTATCATTTACATACATTGTATAGTGTTTTAAACCTTAAATTAAACCTCGGGAAACTCAAGTAATTTTTACATATAATCTGGTTTGAATATTGTAATACAAATTTTATGGGATTAAATTCATACCTTTTGATTAAACTGCATTATAGTTCCTGTGGTTTGTAATTGTTGTAATTGAAGTGCCGATAGAGGGAGAGATGTCTGTTGAAAACTATTTGCTGGCGCGATCTATGCAGAAAATGAATATAAAATCACTATTAACCTCATAATATATAGTTGCCAACACAATGTTCATAGAAAACCAAATTAATAATAAAATTACAGGCAATGTTTTAAATTTCTTGTTTAAAGCAAAATTTATTGTAAGAATATGTTAAACTACCTAGTGACACATTTATTATGATTGTCGAAGTTTTAATTTAAAATATGTTTACAGTCATAATTTTCTCAAGTAAGTGTAATGTAATTTCTTTTTGAGAAAATAAAGTTTCTTTAACAATAATTACAGTCAAAAACTCAAAAATATCTTACAGATACGAATTGCTGTGGTTGTAAATTGGCTAATCCAGTTTGGTTTGACGTTAAATCTTGCAACTGTTGATATGGTATCAACATTGTTTGAGATCCTGGAACAGTCCATTGCATTGTCTCAGCTCCTTGGATGTGGTATTTGACCTCTTTATCACCTTTTTCTGTGTATAGAATCTTCTGTGATGAATTTGTGCTCTGTGCTGCACAAACCACTGGTGTTGAGGTCGCTGAACTTACAGTTGTCGTGTCAGCACCGGTTAAAGTCGCTTGTGGAAAGGACAGACCGTTTGGTAATAACATCGACATTGAAGACGGGACACCGCTAAGCCTTAATTGAGTTACCGGCTGCATATTAGATATATCAACTATCTGTGTTCCGAAATTAGGTTGTTGTATTGTGTTCAGCTGTTGTGCTATCGGTAGTGATGTGAAGTTTGTATTTGAGACTTGCATGCCGGGCTGAACGATGGGTATGAGCTGCCCGCTCTCTTGATTGAGGACATATTGTTGTTGAGGCAGGAGTTGTAATACGGTTGGTTGTCGGACAGTCATTAGGGGTGTGGAGGCCGGTGCTACACTCACTACTGGTGGTACCACTTGTTGGGTAGATGTGGTTAATGTGGTAGGATTGGATAGAGCGACGGATACTATAGGCGCGGGCACGGGTGGAGGCGCAGCGGTAGTTGTTAGCGCGGGAGGTGGAACATTAAGCGCAGGCGGCGGCCCACCAGCCTGCGCGGCGCTCCACTGAGCCAATTCGGCCCGTATTGTCTCTATAAGATTTTGCGCCAACGACCTAGCCGCGGCCAAAGCCTCCGAACGCGTGTGGTGCAACGCGAGATGTAATGGTTCAAACTTATCACTTTTCAACACAGCGACCACACCAGTCTCGGATCTTATATACTCCAAATTGGTTCCATTCTGAAAATAAGGCACAATTTCAAGTTTAAAGAGTAAATTTTAATAACATATCATCTTAAGATCATAATGCTTACAGGTCCGAGTATCCGTGATTTTATATCAAATGCGGCTGGCGCATTATCCAAGCCTATGAAAACTTTTTCCATAAGGCCTCCGGACATTATTTATCAAAAGAATACACTATTATCAAATATATTTAGGTGATTCTTGATGAATGCATCTTTTCCTAAAAGCGCAGAGACAGTGTTTTGAGTTTTGACATTAGCAACAAGCGTTCAAAAACTTTAAAAGATCGAAATTACTTATAAACCTTATATAATATTAAACTTATTAATTTAACCAAAATCTTAAAAAATAACCCTAAAAATTGAAACAAAGAAGCTTTTAAACACGCCTTAATTAAACGTTATACGTTTTAATCGCTATCAATATCCACCTCTTTTTAAGTTGTCAAAATTTTTTGTTATAAATGGTCATTGACAAATTTAAATTTGAAAATAGTTTAAAGGATATAAATTTGTATATTAAATTGTTAAACCCTTATTGATAATGAATTCGGAAAACCGTTATCCTGTAACGGCATCTTTATTTATGCTACGTGAAATAAAAAATCGGCAAGAAAAGGTTAGCAGAGGATATCAACTTCTTAAGAAAAAAGCAGAAGCTCTTCGTATTCGCGGCCGTCAGGCAGCTGCTGAATTGGCTACAACTCAAGCGATATTGGGTCATGCATTAAGAGAAGCTTATATATCTTTGGCTGCTATTAAATTCACCAACGGCGAATCCAATGCCTTAGTTTTAGAAAACGTTGGCGAAGTATGTCATTCATCGTATCAAATGTAATATTTTACTTAATAAACTTAATTTTCTTGGATCGCCATCATTATATATTTTTTATAGGCACAAATTCGAGTACAACGTGTGCCGGAAAATATTTCGGGAGTCGCTACCGTGTCACTGCAGGTATTAGAAGATACTACAGCAAACGATTCTTTGCGATATGCAGGACTCGGCGCTGGAGGTCATCGTACCACTGAAACCAAAAAGGCTTTTCGAGAAGCAATTAAGATATTAATCAGATTTGCTTCCCTCAGAAGTAACTGTGTGTTGCTAGATGAAGCTATAAAATCTGCGTTGAGGTAAGATAAATGGCGTTAAATTAGCGTAAAAGAGTATAAAAAGCTGTAACTAGTCCGAAATATTTTCAGAAAGGTGAATGGCATAGAAAAAGTTATAATGCCTAAGCTACGAAATACTGAAAATTACATTTTAATGGAAATGGACGAAAGGGTAATATTTTTAAAAAACGTTATAAACTAGCTTTTAATGTTATTTAATTTAAAAGAAATATAACTGTACGTTTTATTTCAAAGGAACGTGAGGAATTTCATAGACTAAAAATGGTGAAGGCAAAAAAAAACCTTGGACAGCCGCTCTTAAAGTCCAAGTCCAACAGGAAATTTCCCTTTGGCGACAGTGGTAAAAAAATCTTGGGTTGTTGAAAAAAGCACAGTATACATTTTTTTTATGACGACTTCTAAATTCATGGGATGTATTTATTACTATTATTGTTGTAGATAAAGCTAAATCCTCTTTGGAGTCTATAGACAATAATTTGGAATGTTTGGACATCTGCTCTTGCCCTACATTTTCGTCAACCACTGTGTCAGCAGGAGACTTTAAACCAGTGTGCTACCCTCATAATTGGGATGACGAGGATTTACTATTTTAATGATTTATTAAAACAATTAATAAAATTTTAAGAAACTTCCAAAACAATTTTATTTGCTGGCATAAATTAAACATGTATAAAAGTACAATCAAAAGTAAAATAAGTTCTTCACAAAACCCAGCCGACGTCCAATCTTTCCTCCATGGGCTTGGTAAAGTATTGACATCGTCGGAATTTTTCTAATATTTCACCCTGTAAAAAAATAAATTTTAGTCTATCGTCTCTTCACTCATGAAATTAAAGATTTTAGTAAGTACTTACAGGCCCTGTCTTTTTGATATTTTCGCTATAATACGTTATTGCACTAGAGCCGGTTCCGTAAAGGGGATATTTTAAATGCATCTGTAACCCAAAAAAAGTATTATTTTTAGCTTTACTTAAATTTTAATGTGTAATTCTTCTCCTTACATTTTTGTCAGCTGTAACTTCGAGATTGCGTGGTTCAAATTGATCTTTTATAAAGTTTGCATCGTATTCCGAACAATATTCGGTTATTGGTTGCGATGTTGCCAGTTCGTCAATCACTTCATCCAACATCTGTTCCCAGAAGAAATCGGTCAGCATACGTTTTCGAATACCTATTTAATAAGAAAATATTTTAGAGAAACTTTATTGCATGAAACATTACAGTTGAATACCTAGAAGCGGTGAACTGAAGGGCACTAGGTAGAATTTAGCACAACAGGTTCAATTTAGCTTAACAAATTTTCGCCTATAATTGTTTGTTTTGATTATTTTTTATAAATATTGTAGTGGTTATTTATTACTGTAATTATTATAGCATACTATATTACAGATTGAAATCAAAATTAATAGGTAGTTGGACATCATAATTACTATTAATTTTTAATTATGGATCTCATTTCCCAAATGTAATTTTTAATTTAAATTTTCAGTTACATGTCTATGATCCAAAGAAAGATATTTCTTGCAGCTGGATTTTGTACAATCACACTACACTTTTTAAATATATGCATATTATTATTAATTTACCATCGGATTCGTAAGGTTTCTTTGGAATTCTATAGCAGTCACGCATTTCACTGCCTTTTCCAGGAACTTCTCGCCCATCTTGAAGAATCCATGGGCGGCTGAAATTTTTACCCTTTCCGTAGGCTGAGGGTTCAATTGGAACTTTGGGATGAAGTTTAATGCGTTCCAACGGTCTTATTTTTAATTCAGTTTCCTCAGTTATTAGTTCTGGGAGATCAGCTTGCACCTCTTCGTCCATTTTTAGGTAATTCGAGAAAAAAAATTATGGAACGATTTCGATTATTTGTTGCTATGGTTGCGGAAACAATATTCATTATCTAATAAGGATTGCTTGAGAAATTTCAGGCATAAAATTAATAAGGTGCTTTTAAATTATTTTATTTTGAATAAAAAAATAATACTATTAATTTTTCATTCAATTATTTATGTCGTTCGCATATTTTAGTTCGTTTTCTTTTTTATTCGTTTATAAGAATGGTTGCCATATTGCCAAAGTCAGATATAAAAAAAAATGACGTTGACAATTTGATATATGTTTTGTTATGCTTTGTCAAAACCAGAAATCGACGTAACGGGTTTCAGACTTCAGTTAGAAAATGGCTGAAGCATGTCAGGTAGCCCGAAAACAAGATTTGCCTCCTCCGGGAGGCTACAAACCCATACCATACAAAAGACTACCTGCAAAGCAACTTTTCAGCGGTGAGTATGATAACAGAACATTGAATGTATTCATACAAAATTATGTATTACGTAACTCTATTTAGGTTAAGTTCTAATACCAAATGTCTTAATATTTATTATTGTTTACTAAACTGGATTTAGGTTATACAATGTTTGCTGGGTTCCTGGGTATAACTGCAGTTAGTTCATACCTGTATTATTTAACTAGCAAAAAGATTACCAAGCAGGAGATTGAGATGAGATCAGCCAAAATGGCAATATATCCGATGTTATTGGCGGAGAGGGACCGAGAGTTCTTGAAACAGCTCCGCAAGAACCGTGATGCTGAAGCCGAACTCATGCGCGACGTTCCTGGTTGGGAGGTAATAGATGATTAATTATATTCAAACAATATCTTTATAGTTATATTTTCTTATTGCCATTAAAAATTAACAAATATATAAACTGTACTTTATCTGTGACTAATTGCTACACCTAAGTCTGTTTTTACACGGTAGATTGGTTCCAGAAGAAGCCGTGTAAAAAAAAAACGTGTAAAAAAAACATTGATGTTATACAAAAATGGGTGATTTGTTCCTAATCTCTAAAACCTATTAAAATTAGTGAAAAACAAGAATTTTTAAGAACAAGAATTCATGTTTATTTTATTAAATCAAATATATAATGCTTATGTTCGCAAACTATCGATACTATCGATGGTTTCAGACTTTTTTCTTTCATAAATACTTTTTTGTGATATGAACATACTTCGCAAAATTAAATTTGACAAAAAAAATTTAAGTACATAAAATTTCAAATCGTGCTAAATGGAATAAAATCGTGTAAAAAAATTAAAAATATTCAATTTTCAAACCGTGTTATATCAAAACTGTGTACAAAAAGACTGTGTAAAAACAGACTTAGGTGTATATCATTTATATTCTATAAACAATAATTAAAATGGATAATATTAAAAATACTATGTGAATATGTTTTTCAGGTCGGTACCTACTATGGTGAGCGTGTTTACAAAAATCTACCTCCGGACACCTTAGTACAGCCCATTTTCCATGAGTACTACGCACATTGCAACCCAACTGACTGGTTCCAACGAGCCTACATCAAGTTGCGCTCTTAAACATTCTTAACACAAATTTATTAGCAGAAAAAACGGCCAGGTCGCAACAAATCTTATCAAAAATTAGTTTTTTCAATTTCTCTGATTATCCGTTATTAAATTGTCATAAGACCTCGGCTTTTACTAACAAAATAGAATGTGAGTTTAGTACAATTTATGTTCAGTTGTAGTTGGTCTGAATAAATTAAATAATTGATTATCTTTTACTATTTTTCATCCATTTTGTCCATTGTTTTTCTTTTTGTAAAAATAATATTACTTTTATTAAGTTACTGCTTGGTATAGTCATATTATATTTCTATATTTATAATACATAAATATATTATTTACCTTATATTCAATTTCAGCTATTGTTCTTAAAAAATGGTGTACTAGACAGACATGTTAAATATATATTTTTATTATTGAAAGTTCATTAAACCACTTGTTAAATACAATAAATTCTAAACATAATAAGAAAAAGTTAGTTATATTCTTATTAATTTTTCACATTAATAAATATGTTACTTGTAGTGTATGTATCTATACAGGGTGTTCTAAAAACTGTGTCAACCCTTAAAGGCATGTATACATATAAGTATAAGCTTTTTATTAAAAATAGTATAACTTAAAAAATATCAAGCAGAGGTCAGTTATAGTGCATAGGCTAAATAAGTTTTAAATCGATATTATTTGAAAAAATGAGTCAACAACAACAACATCTGACTCATACAAGGTCTAGACACCGTATAGTCGCGATGATGCATGCGTGGCCATTGACCGCAGGCGACGGGCCGCCGGCGTGGCACACTCGTCTTTTGTTAGTGTTTATTAGGTAGGTTTATCGATAAATATTCTATCGACATTTTCAATATTGCTATAAGTAGTTATGCTTTTCTTTAGTCATTTAAAGTAACTTTTATAAATAATAAATATTATTAATCAATATTATAATTTGGAACTTCTTCAGGTAAATTAACTATGTTGTATTATTAGGATAAATCGTTAATCTATTTCTGTTAAAAATTGTGTTTTATAATCAAAAATAATACTAATGTTTGATATATCAAAATAAGTATCGAAATAATATTAAATATTTATTTATTGTTATGATTTTTAAAATATCGATATTTTCAATAATGTGAAAGTAACTTCGAGTTCGTCACTACTGGCGCAGCAGGTGTGATGACGCATTGAGTGTCATCGTGTTATACCAGTTCATATTTAATTTTATTATTTTTATTGAAGAGTTTGTAAATGTAGGTTGTTTAATTGTGTTCCATTTTCGATACTGATAACGCAGTTAAGGGGGTTGACACAGTTTTTCATACACATTGTATCTATACTATTTATTTATTTATTTATTTGTAATCAACAGCGTATACAGATTATATTTGTACAGTTTTTAAAATTTCATCAAGACTATGGCCACAGAGATTACATTATAAAGTGTTTAATAAAATATTTTTAACAAAAAGAGAGTAGGTTTAAAAAAATAATAATAATTGTTGACGCATGCAATTAGAGAATATTCACAGGTGTATGGGTTATTTTATGTGCGTGCGTGCGTGTGTGTGTGTGTGTGAGTGTGTTTGTGTGTGTGTTTGCGTATGCATGTGGATGTGTGTGCGTGTTTATTTTTGGCGGTAAGATAGTATTATTTGATTCTTTAATTGTTTTTTGGATAAGTGAAATAGGTCTAAATGAGATTTTTTTTTATTGTATGTTCGTGCTAGACGTACACTTATAGAGCTTTTTGCATAATTTGTGTTATATTTAGGAACAACTAGTAGATGGGGGTTTCGCGATCTAAATGAGGAGGCATTTAGAGAAAATGCTGACACCAAACTTGGGCAATCCATCGTACCAGTTAAAATTGCTTGTAGTAACAGCATATCCTTTTGATTCCGTCTTTGCTCTAACGAATCTAGTTTATAATTAATACAGGCTTCTTCATAACTGTCAAATATTTTAAAATCTTTGTACGCTAAGTATTTGAGAAATTTATATTGTATAGATTCGAGTCTCTGAATATGATTTTTATATAAGGGTGACCATCTACTTGCATATTCCAAGATACTTCGAACGTATTCAAAGTAGAGTATTTTTATGCATTCAATATTATTAAATGATTGCGTTGCTCGCTTAATAAAACCAAATTGTTTGTAAGCCCTATTTGCTACTGCGTCAATGTGTTCAATCATTGAAACTTTAGTGTCAATTGTAACGCCTAGATCTGTAACGGTGGATTTTTTAGTAATGGTCGTGCTATTGATTTTATAGTCGAAATTAATTTGTGTTTTTTTACGAGTCAGAGTTATATAATGACATGTCTTAAAGTTTACTGTAATTCTGTGTTTCGCTTAGTATTTTGTCAGGGCATTTAGATCATCTTGTAATTTAAGGCAATCCTCGACTGATCTTATTTTACAGTAGACTTTTTTATCGTCAGCGAACATCAAATAGTGTGAATGTTTGAAACAAATTCCGATATCAAAAAGATATTATGTATTGTATAGAAGGGGTCCCAAAATGGATCCTTGGGGTAACCCTGATGATATTAATACAAAATCACTTCTAGCACTGCCTGTTACTGCTTGCATACGATTTTTAATATAAGATGTTAACCATCGAAGCAAGTTTCCATTTATCCCAAGAGTATTAAGTTTATGAATATTATTTATATAGAGTTTAAATATTATTTATATATATGTAGTTTTACTAATATTATAAAGCTGTAGAGTTAGTTTGTTTGTTTATTTGAACGCGATAATCTCCGAAACTACTTGTAATAGATATAATAAATTGTCTCACATACCCCACTAGAGGGAGCGGCATTCGCTCGGCAGTCTCACGACTAGTGCGGAGCTGACCGGTGAAGTGCGCTTGCGCTCTAGGCGAGAGTAGTAGTGAACCAGGGACTATACTCCAGCCACATTCGATCTGGAATTTTAGTAAACAAACCATGAGTCATCATAATTAGGGTTGATACACTCTTAATAAAAAATAATAATTACAACTATATTCATTATAACATAATTTCCTATTTAAACACAAAAATTTTAATTTATATAGAATCCAAAAAAATATTTAGCCGGTCAATACATAATTTATATGAAAATTAGCTTAAAATAAGTTTAAAAATCTTTAATTACCACTATAATATTACTACAAGACTAACAACCCTATATTTTAAAACTGACGTAAAGAAATCGCGGGTTCGCAATATTTTTAGTGTTTTTTAAGCAATTGGCAGATTTAGGAAGGTATATAATAGCGATACAGGCTCTTCGTAATTGGTGGTGTATATTTTTAGTCGTATTATAATGGTAGTATAACCACAACAGGTTAAGAATCTTAACATTACAGATAAAAAAAAAGACATCTTGTTTTGGCTAGCATAAATATAGCACTATGTGACTATAATCACTGTTTCAACCACATATATTTACAATGTCTTCTATATATATATATATATATAAATAAGATAAAATTTAAGAAATTTTATTGCGGTTACATTTTTATTAATTTAAAAAAATATTTTTTTAACGCAAATAAAGTTAAACGAAACGTAACTACGTAATTTTGTTGCGTTATACGCCCGCCGCAATAATGTTTGTTTTGTTAGGTTGTTAGCTTATGCTTACAATTCGCTAGTATTTGATTCTGGTGTTCTTCCGTTCTGTTATTAATTGTTAGATTTCGTTATCGTTATTTAGTTTTAATTCGTTGTTGTTATAAGTTTGTTGTTATCAAATATTGTTTATATTAGATTACGATGAGTAATACTGAATTATCTGGTCCGAGTGGGATTGGATCTGTAGCGAAATTTTCTTCGCCCAAGAAGAAACGTGCAAAGAAATCTGCCATGAACTCGTTAGAAAAAACTGTCCTCATCAATATTTACGAACTTGTCGAAGAAACTTGGCCCAAAAATGAGTATATATCGACAAGATCTTGCCAAAAAGACAGCGGAAACCGCCGGCGTCAGCTCGTCTACTGTTTATAATGTTTTGGCTGAGTATAAAAATGAAAAACGTGTGCAGTCGCCGACACCAGCACCAAAACGCGTGACAAAAATTGATTTGTTAGACGAAATAGACCTCAGTGGCATAAGAAGAAAGTTCCACGAGTTTTTTTTTTCGAAATGAACCACCGTCATTATCCCAAGTGTTACAGGCTGTTAACGACAATGACACTCTTCCAAATTTTAAGAGAACAACTTTTCAAAACTAATTAAAAAATTGCATATTAAATACTTGAAAAGGTTAAGAAAAAGCATGTTAATTGAAAAGTCAGATATTGTCCGATGGAGATTTGAGTATTTAACAAAAATCATCAAGTTCCGTGAAGAAAATCGAAAAATATACTATCTCGATGAAACATGGCTTAACAAAGGTATATTATTTGTTGAGACTTATGTAGCCTTTTCCTTTATAATAAATACATTTTTTTTCCTTTATAATAATTACATTTGTATTTTCATGTCATATTTAACAACTTTAATCTTGTTTTTTAGGACACACAAAATCAAAAGTATGGCAAGATATAAGTGTGCAGTCCAGTCAAGAAGCTCATAGAAAAGGCCTGTCTACGAGACTAACAGCCCCAACAGGAAAAGGAAAACGTCTGATAATATTACATATTGGTAAATATTTAACAATGTTAATTGATTTTGTTTTGATTTAAAATATATTACTCTATAATAAATGTTTATATTTTTTTACAGGAAGTGAAGATGGATTTTTAAATGGTGGAGAATAAATTTTTGAAAGTAAGAAAGGGGTAGGTGATTATCATCAAGAGATGAATTCAAAAATTTTTGAAGATTGGTTTATAAAAATAATAAATAAAATTGAGCCAAACTCAATAGTTGTGATGGACAATGCACCAAACCACTCAAGGCAACTTGAAAGAGTTCCAACGATGATATGGTTGAAAACAGATATCCAAAAATGGCTAAATGAAAAAGGAATCCCCTTTGGAACAAATATTTTAAAAAGAAATTTAATTGATATAGTTAAAAAGAAAGAAATAAATATATGGCATATGCAATAGACACATATGCAAACAATTATAATATTGAAATACTAAGATTGTCCCCATATCACTGTCAATTAAATGCAATTGAAATTATATGGGGGCTAGTAAAAGGCTATGTCGCAGGGAAAAACAAAAGTTTTAAAATGGCAGATGTAAAAATATTACTTAGAGAGGCAATGGATTTGATTAAACCTGCGACTAGTGGCGGTCGGTGGGTAATCGAACCGGTGGTGCACTTTACAAAAATATTAAAATTAGAAAATGCCACAAAATATAACGAGATGTCAATCATGGCTAAATTCGTCATACATCGGGTACTCTCAGTAATCTTCGGTCGCTCGTGCGGCGCTCGAGAACCGACTCGTTACTCGGTACATTTCTATGAACTATCTTTTGTCTCACGCGACAGGCGTATTAATGCATATCTCATACAAGATCTATTAGCCGTCCTCGTGCACTCGCACTCGAAGTGCACAAGATATTAGTTTAGTAAAGCGCTCAAACTCATAATTTGAAATTTAATTTTTTATAAGTTTTAAAATGTTTAAAAAATAAATATTAAAATGTTAATTTAAAAATAAAGATGAAGTAATATTTTGTAATTTTTAAATCTTTTGAATTGGTGGTTCAGCGCACGAGTGCACATAAGGTACAGCCGCCACTGCCTGCGACATGGCAAAAATGTATCGGGCATGTCTTCAAAGAAGAATTAGAAATGGCACAACTTGACCACTTAAGTGATATATATAAAACGCGGGTAGACATTGAAATAGATAGACATACATTTCGAAGCTCTACTTTTATTAAATTTTATAATTACACAAGTACTTATGTTTTAAAACTTATATTACCTTTGTATAAGTGGGCTATCACTACATTCACACACAAGTTTTCAACACTAAGAAATGGACACTCTTGTTGAACAGCTGGTCAAAGGTATGGAAGAACTTTCTTCAATGTTCAGCCAGAGAATGGGTGAGTTTGAAAAGAACTTAATGCCATCCACCGCCTCTGCTCCTACAAACCCAACGATCAAGTCCTTGTCCGCCGAGTTCTATGCATTTAAGTCCCTTGTGTGGAAATCGCTGGGACTACTGAAAGCCCAAATAGAGCTTGTCGCACAGGGTTTGGACCGCATGGAGACTCATAGTCGCAGGAAGGTTCTCCTCTTCCACGGCATTAAAGAGGAACAAGGTGAAGACGTCCTGAAGAAAACACTCGCCGTATTAACCGGCCATTTGAAGATGTCTGATGCTACACCTGAAGTAATTGACTCCTGTCATCGTTCGTTTCGCCTCCGTACGCTTTCGTTCCAAAGTATGGAACGCCAAGTCGGCACTCAGGGGTTCTAAAATAACCCTCTCAGAATTCCTGACAAAGCCCGTAAAAGTGTCTTCATAGAAGCTCGCAAACACTTTGGGATGAAGAAGTGCTGGTCGGCTGAAGGCGAAATTGTCATTCTTCTTCCTGACAACTCTCGCAAGAAGATTTCTGCATTGTCCGAGCTTAAGCAATTAGTCGCTCAGTATCCAAAGAGCAACAAGTGAATACCGGTACTTTGTAGATTGCATATCCATTTGGTCGGTTTATATCATGTTGATACTGACATTTGCACTGCAGGGTATAGTTAATTTTCTTTTTACTTGTTTAACTCTTATTTTTTAACTATTTTACTTTGTAAATGAATTTTATAATTTCATAATTTTACAAGTTTTTTTTTTATAGTTTAATAAAGTGACAAGTGACAACTAATGTTCATTGTCAGACCACACTGTTTTTAACTCTGGGTTCGAGTCTTTTGAGCCGTAAAAATACTTTTGACTTTTTATTTTTTTAGTTTTTGTTTCTTTAATATTTTCTATATGTATATCTTTATTTTAATTTACATTTAATTTTTAACTGTTAACACTACTTTTTATTGTTGGTTTTCTGTTTTGTTCATTTTTTAAGTGTAAATCTCATTTTACAGTCAACTTATGCTTGAGGTGTGTGTTTCAAGTTGTTATTTTTTATATTTTTTTTATAGTTGTTTAATTTATTTATTTTTGTGTGTGACATATCATTTTTTATTTTTGTTATGTTCGTTCCGTTCAGAACAGGCAAAGAGAACAAAGCCCATACAGCCATGTCTTTTGTATTTTGTATCTTTAATTATTTTTAAATGTCTTAATGTAAGCCATGTCTTCTTTTAATTTTTCTTCTTGAATCCTTTTTTAATTATAAGGCCGAAACCATGTCTTTATTTAAAATATATTTTTTTTGTCAAATTCTTGTTTTTTTTTTTACATTCCGTCTTTTTCAATGTCAAGTCCTTGTAATGTCATTTTTAGTACAATAATTAATTTGTCAAAATCGATATAACAGTCAAATTCTGAAAATAACTGAAAGCAAATATGTGAAAGAAAACGAATAAATTTGTATTACATACATATGTACAAATAACAATTAGATTTCATTTATAGTAGAAACAATAAAGCCATAAACTGGCAAGAAGCATTCTTGAATGCTTAGTATTTGCTGAAGGGAGCGCGGGATATCTTCAGCAGTTTTAAAAATACTTAAAAGTTGGTCTACAAGGACCATCCTTTGAATACTAAACTGTGGACAGTCAAAAATTATATGTTCGAGGGTTTCATCAGCACTATTGCAATATCTACAAGTTGAAGAGTCAAAAACACCAATCCTAAAAAGGTGAGCACCAAAACGACAATGTCCCAGACGCAAACGACAGATTGTGGTATAATACTTTTTATGGCTATAGTCACTACCTTTATTGTAGCAAAACCATTTTCCTTTTACCTTTACCACCTGATGCCACAAGTTGTAAAATTCTTTCTGTAACTTGAGTTTGAAGAGGGATAGAGTGTCTGAATAAGGAATTGGGAAATTTAAAAAGTTATGATTTAATTGATTGTGGGCCGGATTTGTAATAAATTTAGCTAAATAGTCTGCTTGCTCATTACCATGCACACCAATGTGGGCTGGTGTCCAGAATAGGACTATTTGCTTGTTTTGAGACAGCAGGTGATACAACTCTCTTATTTTATATATAATATAGTTAGTTTTTGAATTTAATTTTGGATTTTGTAGTGCCGTTACTAAACTTAAACTATCCATTATTATAATCCACTTAGGATGAGTCTGTGTTTGAATGTGCTCCATAGCTGTATATACAGCTATGGATTCGGCGGAGTATATGCTTGTGAGTGCATTCAGAGTGACTATCATACACAGCTATAGAGACTGCTTCATTGTTCCTAGACCCATCTGTATATATCTGATGATATCCCCGCCACCTATCAAGTTCCCTATAAATGTCTTCGTTATACTTTAGAAGACTTTTGACTACAATTTTAATCTGAATAAATTTTGATTCATATAACCCAGAGTAACAAGGCCATACCGTGCTAGAAAATATATTATGTTTATTAAAAATTTGTTCTGTTTCAGAAAAACCTTGAAACAAATATGAATTAATATTGGCAGTCCTGTTAATAGTGTCCCGTAGTTTAACAAGAAGTGGATGATTACTGACGGAGAGCAACCTTGCAAAAAATTTTGATTGTAAGTATTTAAATCTAAGTGCTAATGGAGGTATATTACATTCCACCTGCATTGACACTATGAGAATAGTTCGCATGGCACCCATTATAATACGCAAACATTTATTCTGTATCTTTTCTAATTTATCTACTATAGTTATTACCCCTGCAAAACAAATAAAGCATATTCAAAATGACTCCTTACTAATGATTTATACAATGTTAATAGAATCCTTGGATCAGCACCCCAATATGTGCCTGTTAACGATTTTAAAAGATTACAAGCATTTAAAGCTCGAGATTCTAAAGTTTCAGCATACTTATTCCATCTAAAATTGTTTGTAAAAATAACACCTAAAAACTTTACAGAGCTCTCTACAGACATAACATTGTTATTGAACAAAGTATTTACATTCCCATTTCTAATTCCATTTTTTGAAAAGACAACAACTTTACTTTTTTCATTGCTGACCTCCAGCCCATAAACTATTTAATAGAGTTAAATAATTAGAGTTTGAACATTTAAAAGTTTAAACATTTTGTAGGAAAGCCAATCCAGGCCACATGAAGAATCTTTTCTTGAGGCTAAAGCAGATTTTAACTCTTGCATAGTAAAACAACCGATCATGTATGAATTATCACTACTTACTCCAAGAACATTATCTATACTTATCTGTTGTGAAACAGTATCCGGTGTGTATTTATATAAAAATGTTTGAACCCAGTTGAGGTCAGAAAATAAGTTGGAAGTCGGAAAGCTTTTTTTGAATTTACTTATTTTAGTCCAAATGCGATTTATAGAATTCAAACGATTTATTGATGAGCAGAATTCAGATCAACTTTTACAACATTCTTCTTTTAAAGTACGTTTTTCAAAGCCTTGTGCGCGTTTGAAATTAATGTAATTTTTACTATTAAGACTAGTTTTGAAATTAATGTAGGCGTTCTTGCAATCTTCTACTACTTTTGAACATTTATCATTCCACCAAGGTACTTGACACCTTTTTCTAGGACGGTTATTATTACTATCAGTTGTGGTTTAAGCTGGGCCCGGAGAATTTGATTGCCAATAGAATAATTGCACAAAACTTTCTGTATGAGTCAAGGAGATCACTATTGTCAACTTTAAAGTTCATTAACATTTTATTAACAATTTGTTCATACCTATCCCAATTTACT